AGTTATTGATTTTCCTACAGCATCTCCAATGCAGAAATGAAAGACTTACAAGTTTGTGATGTACATGATTTCCAGTCCTACTTTTGTTAAACATGTCATTTTTCACCTATTAATGCAAGAATTCAGACAGCAAAGAGACTCCCCGGAAAATATATTGTATTTTTTTTTCTTCTGGTTAATAAAAAAAATAAAAAGGAGGCAGAGAGAAAAATGCAATAGGGTCACAGTCACAGTGAGGAAAATTCCAACATCTTCCCATCACTATCTACTTTACTGAATACACATTAACACAGGCTACATTATGCATGTGTAAAAAATGCTTGCCATCTCAGTGAAAAATGGCAGAGCAATTAAAATGTCAAAAGGCTAAGGAGACAATGTGAGATTAAGTGCAGTTATAATTTTATTTTAAATCTTCTCAGTTCTCTGATGCTCATTGGAGTGTTTTTTTTTAAATGATTTCAGATTTGGGAACTTTAGCAAAACCCAGCCAGCTACTTAGTTTTTATGTAAAACTGTATTTTTCACTCAACTTCCTTCTTTAGCTAAATCAAATGACACATGTAGTCTTTTAATTTTTTTCTCAATGATTAAAGAGAGCAAATATGCCATTATTTATTTTTCTTCCTTAAGTATATGTATACACAATTTTATAAAGTATTAAAATGAGGACCCCCTAACACATGTCTTAGCATTTTTTTCATCAAGTTGAATAAGGCTTCACAGGCAACTGTTGTCCAATGATAAAAATCATGTCCACTAAATTGTATCTGAGAAATCTCTATTAATTTTCCTTTTCATATTTTTTTCCAATTAAGATGCAATTTAAATGTACCTCTCTTTCATTAGTTGGGTCATTTAAGCTTTGTGGCATTATCCCTTTAACCTCTGAGGGAGCTTAGGTGATATGCTTGTCTACAGAAGAAGGTTGGAAACTGGCTTCTGATGAGACATGTAAAATAAAGTGTGTGCTCATGCACAATCTTAGGCCATGCCACACAGTTCCCACTTTCATCATTCCTTGTGAATGCATAAGTGAAAACAGGCATAGAATATTTAATATTATCTCTTTTTTTTATGTCAGGAAATAAAGATGCAAACCTGCACAGCTCCACCCCAGGGAACCCCAAGGGGTACATTTGAGCAGCGACTTAACCTTCCACATCAGGCTCTAAGGAAGCAGAGCAATGAGACCCTGACATACTACTGGCTGACATATAGGTTGTATTAGATTAAAAGCTCTGAAATGCCTATAAGGCAGAATGAGCCGTTGCATATTTTTTGCTTCTAGAAAGCACAGAATTCTAGTCCATAAACCAAGTGCTTGCAGCTCAGATCTGTAAATCTTTTTTAAATCACTGTTGCCTGTGTTTCTTTCTATTGTTTATGAACATACTTTCTTAAACATATTACTCATGCTAATGCAATATTTCTGAATTGATGTCAGCCATTTCTGTTCTGTATAAAAATAACTTTGTAAAAGATTTTTAGGTACTTTAAAACATATTATGTTCATGATCTGTTCCAATAAACCAAAGCCTGCACAAAAGAAATCATTCCAGAAAAATTATTATGTTTCTCTAATATATAGATCAGGTTTCATTGTTCTCCTTTATATAATATTGTGATTAGGTGGTACCGTGATTAAAAGATCTTTATAACTACTTAAAACCCTAATTTCTAACTATGTTTTCCAACACTTTCAATACAACACTTAAAAGTTTATTTTTTTAGATGTTGAGATGTTGACAGTTCTTAGCTTTCCAATGATATACCAACCATCCTCAAGCATGGAATAATCAATAGTCTAAGTTGGCCCCAAAGATGACCCCTCCTGCAGTAATTTCCCTCCTGCAAATTCCAGGGAATGTCACTATAACAGATGTTACTCCCATGATTTGGCCATGTTACATAGCACACTTGACCTTAAAATAGAGCCCAATTTAACCACACAAGTTCTTTATATAAGCAGAGAGTTTTGTCTAGTTGGAAGCAGAAGGGAAATCAGAAAGATGTGAGGTGTGATGTGGATTCAGTATGAAGGGAGTTCTTTATTACATAAATGGAGGGGGCCTGTGGCACAAGCTGACAGCAGCCTGGAGGAGCTGAGGTCACTCACAGCTGACTGACAGTGAGGCAAGAGGGACCTCAATCTTGCAATCCCAAGGAAACAAATCCTGCCAACACTCAAGGTGGCTTTGAATAGATCTTTCTGTAGTCAGATGAGGGTGCAGTTGGCCAACACACTGTTAAGGAAGAGAGACCTTATGAGACCCTGAGAAGAGGACTTGGCTAAAATGTGGCAGGCTCCTGAACAACAGAAATTGTGCAATAATAAATCTGTGTTAAGTGGCTGAATTTGTGACAATGCACAGACAGAAAAATACAGTGCTATATGGAATAAGGAAGTTCAATGCAGGGCTCTGTATCCTGAAATTTCTAAGCAATTTTTAATTTATTTTTATTATTACTTTTAGAATTTTTATCAATCATGCTTTTCCGTGCAGCTTTATTGAGGTGTAATTGACAAAAATTGAATATATTTATGCTATACATTGTGATGTTTTGATATATGTATACATTATGAAATGATTACCAAAATCAAACTAGTTAACACATTAATCACCTCAAATAGTTATTTTTTTATGTGATGAGAACATTTAAGATCTACTCTCTAAGCTAATTTCAGTTATACAATACAGGGTTAGTAACTATAGTCACCATGTTCTATATTAGATCTCCAGAAATTACTTTTTCTGTATAACTGAAAATGTCTATCCCTTGACTGATGACATTTCTCTACTTCCACTACCTCCAGTTCCTGGCAACCACCATTCTACTTCTGCTTCTGTAAATTCAACTTTGGATTCCGCATATAAGTGAGATTATTCAGTATTTGTCTTTTTATCCCTGTCTTATTTCACTTAGCATAATGTCCTCCAGGTTGTCAAAAATGACAAGATTTCCATCTTTTTTAAGGCTGAATGGTGTTCCATTGTGTGTGTGTCCATGTGTGTGTGTATGACATACATACATATGCACATATGTGTTTATATATACACGTATGTGTGTATGTATATATACATGTATGTATACACACATGTGTGTATATATAACATATGTTCGTGTGTATATATTTTATATATATACACAAAAGTGTGTGTATATATATAGCCTTTTCTTTATCCAGTCATCTGTTGGCAGACATTTAGGTTGATTTCTTATCTTGGCCACTGTGAATAATGTGCAATGAACATTTTTTAATTAAAATATCCACTAATATATATTGAACATTTACTGTGCACAAAGTGTTAGATTCCTATTTACATCAAGTTGCTCATTTAGTCTTTAAAAATACATATGAGATAATACTACTGTAACACCCACTTTACAGATAAAGAAACTGAGGCTTAGAGAGCTTAAGGAATTTCCTCTGAGTATACTGGTTCCTAAGTTTCAAATCCAAAATATGAAACCAAGCAGCTGGATGGCAGAGCTTATGTATTTACCTCTCCCTTCAGGGTTTCATAGAACTCAGAATGTGGGTGACCCGGTTCTAAATTCTAATAGAAAAACAAGCAATGTGGTTAAGACCCTAGATAATACATGGGAAATCTGTGAGTGGAGTAGGAACATCACGCGGGATGGGGTGGGGGATGGGGGCACCTGAGAAACGCATCAAAATCAGCACATTTTCTAAATCAGCATTTGCAATTTATGAAGAATTTTAGATATTTCATTGGCACATTAAAGTTTAATTTGGGGGTAAATATTGGTTCAGCCACTGCGGAAAACAGTACGGAGGTTTCTAAAGAATAAAAGAATTACCGTATTACCCAGCATTTTTTTCTGGGTATATATCCAAAGAAAAGGAAACCATCACCCTCTAAAAATATCTGTGCTCAGATGTTCACTGGAGCATTGTTCCCAACAGCTCAGGTACAGAAACAATTGAAGCATCCATTAAGAAATGGATGGATAAGTAAATGGTGGCATACGTACACAATAGAATACTATTCAACCTTAGAAAAGGACATGAACCTAGGAGTTTGCACACGGATGAACCCAGAGGATGTCATGGTAAGTGAAATAAGCTAGGCACAGACAGACAAATCCTACCAGGTCTCACTCTTGAAAGCTGATATCATAGAATTAGAGAGAGGAGAATTATGATTCCCAAGGGTTGGGATGGGTGAGGAGCGAGTAGGGAGAGGAGATGTTGGTCAAAGGATACAAAATTTCAATTACATAGAAGAAATACCTCAAGAGATCTATTTTACAACAAGGTGACCACAGTTAGCAATATATTATTATATTCTTGGAAAATGTTGAGAGTGAATGTAAACTGTTCTCTGGACAAAAGTAACTATGTGAGACAATACATGTGTTAATTAGCTGGGTTTATTCATTCCAGAATGTATACATACTTCAAATTTCATGTTGTACACAGTAAATATATAAAATTTTATCTGCCCATTTTGAACAATTGAACATACGTCATCATTATCCTAAGAATTCCAGAAAGGTGAATATGAATTCCTTGCTTGACACTACGGCCTCAGGCAAGTCACTTTATCCTGTCTTCCTAACAGTTTCACACATCCAGAAAACAGAGATCAATCACCAATTTTTAAAAAGAATTTCATTAGGCCTAATGCTCAGCATATTGTCTGCCACATCATAATTAATAAATAGTAAGTCGTTTTAGTTTTGTTTTTGTTGTTCTGTTTTAATGATGGAGGCAAACCAGGGCGGGTGTAGTCTTCAAACTTGTTAGTGTTTCCTTCTCTGTGGAGCCCAGCAGTGGCTTCATGAGACCAAGTGTCTACTCTGAGGATCCAGTCTCCTGGTAGTACAGATGGGCCAGAGGCGAATTCCAAAATGAGACGGGAAAGACTCAGCAACCCCACAGTTCCGTGAGCTGTTATCATGAAATAGCAGCTTGGAGCTGGAGTTAGTTATGTGCTTGCCTTTCCCCCGAGAAGGGAACTGCACTGATAACATGGAATCGTACCATTTCCCAGTATGTGAGGGCGGTCTCAGCATCCTTAAAGCCTTGAATCATAACTATCTGTTTTCAAAAGTTGAGACTATCAGATCAGTTACTGTGAAAACCAGAAGCATGTTTTATTTTAGTCCTTTATGAGAGTAAAAGATACAATAAAATCTTAGTAATTAACTGTTTTTACTTATGCTCTTTAAAAAGCTATTTAAAAAGTAAAAAGGAAAAAAAAAAAGCCTGAATCACGGCTTCTCTGTATATTTAATCTTCAGTCTTGGGATTGCTTCTGAGGGGAAAATTACTTTTAAAATAATTTTCTTTGCAATTAGGAAAATGAGGACCTATAGTCCTAACATGCCCTTAATTTGGGAATTACTTGTTTCATTACTTAGAGAACAAAATTATTGGCAGTGGAAATATTGCACACAAAACAAAGAGCTAACCCATTTGGTGATTTAATCTCTTGAGACAGGATTTCAGCTTGGTACAAAAACTGATAAGATATTTATCTACAAGTCACAGAATGGTTTGTCAACTTGATACTTTGATTTTTTTTTATAAATCCTATCATAAGCCTATGAAGTTCTAAGCCGGTATTTCCCAAAGCGAGTTCCTTGTATGAACAATGCCTCCTACTTTCTGCTTGTTTTGCTTTTTTAGTGGTCCCAGCATTTTACATTTATTCTGATTTCATCAGTTTCAAGCAGTAAAGTGTTCATGAGCAGAGTTTCGGTGTCAGGCTGCATGTGTTTAAATCCGGGATCTGCCACTTACAGGCTATGTGACCTTGGACAAGTCATTTAACCTCCCTGTGCCTGGGTTTCCACATGAGTAAAAGGGGTGTGGATAGACTCACAGCTTGTATAAGAATTAAATGAATCGATTAATGTAAGGCACTGATGTACAAAAAGTGCTTTAAACACTGTAAGAATTTATGTAAGCTGCTAAATCTAGTTTCTTCACTAAACAATTATTTTCATCCTCTCAGCTAAACCCAAGACTATTCTGTGAGGTTGTGCAATGTGTGTGCTGCACAATAATGCCTTGCGGAGGGAGCCGGAGAGTCTAAAATTCCATTTCTGCCACCATCACCAAGCCATGTGCTCTTAAGCTTGATCTATTAGGAGCTGGTCTATTTTTCAGATTTATCCACCTAGAGGGGGATACCTTTTTTCAAACCAAGGTTCTAGTAAAGGTGTACCACATTAAAATATCTAAACACAGCTCTGTCTGCCCCAGTGCTTATGACTGATATGATTTTGGGCATTAGCTGTTAACAAAAACATCTGATTCCATTTCTCTTGGCCACTTTGGATCTAGGAGCAACCTCACTTTTTCTGTTTTTAAGTATTTATACAGCTACAGTTTTCTCTGATAGCTAAATGTTAAGCACAGCTAGATATAAATTCTTATGTCTCATATATATACATATATATATATATATGTTCTCTTGTTCTCTTTATATATATATATGTTCTATATATGTATGTATGTTCTCTATATATTCCATATATATACATATATTTATAATTATATTTGCTGTTCATCCCTAGTTATTGAGTGCTGAATACATAGTAGGCTGAAAAATCATAAGATATTCTATTATGCACTTGACTTTGAGGGCCTTGTATTCTTTTCAGAAGGCAGGCGCTGTACATTTAAAATAGTAAAACAAAGTAGACATTAAATATGTAGCAAATATTAACTCACTGTGTGAATAATTAATGATAATTGTCATATTAAAAAATGTTAATAGACAAGGAAGCCAAACATTTCACAAAAGAATGAAAAGGGAAAAATCAAAAATTTTATGGAGAATATTCATACCTGTGTAGATATCATTGTAAATACAATTTAGAATTAAAGCTATTTCCAAGGTTTTAAATCAAGGATCATTGGAACCCATGTACCAATGTGTATCTATTTGGGTGAAATCTTTATTGAATAAATTAATTTATAAGTAAAATATTTTAAACATGAGTCAATGTCTTTCTGTTTGCTTATTACTGACTTAAAGTCTGTTGAGGTTAGAGATTAGATCATTCGTGTAGGATGTAAGGAGACTCTACTGAAACTCAAGTGAGAGCTTTCTAGAGATTCAGGAAGCAGAAGAAACAGAATAGAACCAGAAGGAAAAGCACTGCTTTTTCTGGATTGACTGAGTTACCTGTATAATATAGAAGGTTGTCTTAAAATTCTTGCTAAGGATGGCTTAAGATTGGGTCTAGAAATGCATATAGGACAACTCAAGTAAAATAACTTGAAGCATTATGGTTGAGACCATGGCAGACCTTTAAGAGGCAGTCACCCAGTAAAGCAGTAGGGTGTACTTTAGTGATGTATAGTGTATAAGTGAAAATGCAATTTGGAATTAGACATTTTAATGGGTAGACTTGTGTCTTCCTAAGAATATATGTTCGCATTCTAATCCTTTATACTTCTGAATGTTTCCCTTTTTAGAAATAGGGTCTTTTGAGATGTAATCAAGTTAAGATGAGGCCCTACTGGATTAAGATGAGCTCTAAATCCAATGATTAGTATCTTTAAAAGAGAAAGCAGAGGGATATTGGGATACAAAGATGCAGGGGAGTTATGCAGGAAAGGCCATTCAGTGACAAAGTTGGAGATTGGATTGATACAGCTACTAATCAAGGAATACCACGGAGTGACGGAAACCACCAGAAGCGAGGAAAGAGGCACGGGACAGGTTTTTCCTAAGAGGTTCCATAAGGAACCAGCTCTGCTGCTTTCTGACTTCTGGTCCAAACAGTGAGAAAACAGATTTCTGGCCTTCCGAAGTGTAATAAAATCAATGTCTGTTATTTTAAGATGCTGAGTTTATGCAAATTTGCTATGGCAGCCTTAGAAAATTAATACGGGGCCGGGCGCGGTGGCTCACGCCTGTAATCCCAGCACTTTGGGAGGCCGAGGCGGGTGGATCACGAGGTCAAGAGATCAAGACCATCCTGGTCAACATGGTGAAACCCCGTCTCTACTAAAAATACAAAAAATCAGTTGGGCATGGTGGCGCGTGCCTGTAATCCCAGCTACTCAGGAGGCTGCGGCAGGAGAATTGCCTGAATCCAGGAGGCGGAGGTTGCGGTGAGCCGAGATTGCGCCATTGCACTCCAGCCTGGGTAACAAGAGCGAAACTCAGTCTAAAAAAAAAAAAAAAAAAGAAAGAAAATTAATGCGGATATCTTCAAATGCATTCCCACCTCTGCTGTGTGGTATTAGTTGCTTCTTAAAATCTTCATTGGCCATTTAATCAAAATAAACTAAAGTCCATGATAACTTCCGTGAAGGAATTATGGACAGTAGCCGCATATAATACACGACTCAGAAAACTGTGAAGATTAAGTGAGACAATGTAGGCAAGTACTTAGAGTGATTTTTGGAAATACAGCAAATACTTAATAAATGGTAGCTTTTAGTTTTAGAAGTAGCAGTAGGGACAGATGGATTCAGCTCAGAGGTGTAGGCAGTTGGTATAGAAAGAACAAAAAAGCATCAAAATCCTCATCCCAGGAAAAAAAGTCTTTAAGTGCTAAATGGATTTATAGGTGGTCATGAAGAAAAGGAGCTCTGCACAGGGACACAGTCCCACAGCAGCTGGTACACTGCTGAGGAAATCAAAGAGCAGAAAAATAGCATGATTTGTGTACTTTAGGATGGAAACCACTGGTGTGAGATAGTAAGGATGGAAAAGCAAAAAACAGCCAACTCTGAGGTCGTACACAGATATCCTGACCATTACCAGATGAATGTGATACGATAATGATATGGTTTGGCTGTGTCCCCACCCAAATCTCATCTCAAATTATAGCTCCCATAATTCTCACATGTTGTGGGAGGGACATGGTAGGAGATAATCGAATCAAGGGGGCAGTTTCCCCAATACTGTTCTTGTGGTGGTGAATACATCTCAGAAGATCTGATGATTTTATTAGGGCTTTCCCCTTTCACTTGGCTTGCAATCCCTTTGCCTGCCATCGCGTAATATGTGCCTTTCACCTTCTGCCATGATTGTGAGGCCTCCCGAGACACATGGAACTATGAGTGCATCAAACCTCTTTTTTTAGATAAATTACCCAGTCTCAGGTATGGCTTTGTCAGCAGCATGAAAATGGACTAATACAGATACTTTTCAAGAAGATTAGGGACTAATTAATTTCCAATGCCTGCTCTTGGACATATTGTTTTCTTTTTTCTCGATAGGGCAAATCCAATTGATTCCAATTGTTCTTTACAGAGAAAATATAACATCTGTCAACTCCACTTAATTAAAAGTTTACCTTAGATTTTAACGTTGGGACTGGGAAGAGAAAAAAGAACAAACATCCTCCAAAGGGAACCAGAATTTGTTATAAACTGAGTGAAAACTCACAGACAGATGCCCAATGTGATCCTCAGGATAAAAAATGAAAATGGCCATTGTTCATCAAATGACATTGGTTCACTAAGAAAATGGTCCTGGAAATTAATTTGACTGAAAAATCTTTGATGAAAGCAAAGTAAGTACAGAGCGAGAATAAAAAACAAAGAGTTGGAGAATAAGATGTGAATTTTCACAGTAGATAAATTTCTGGAAATCTGACTGGATCTACAAAGTTAAGTTTCCATAAGAACATATTTCAACAAGTAATATCAAAAGATATGTCCGTATATGCATTTCTTATACATGTTCATTTGCAACAAACAACATTTCTGAAGCTTCCTGAAGGTTGTGGCTAAGCTGGTCCTATTCCATGCAGCCTTGTCTTGTTTAGCAGGTAGAAATAGACAATACATAGTTACTCAGGAGGCTGTTGCTTTCATATGATACAAAATAAAGTTGGTATAACTGTTTAGATGGAATAATCACAGCATGGCTCACTTTAAGCGAAAACCCAAGCTTCCCGAGTTTAGTATATAATTTATTTTTTTCTTCATTTACATTAAGCCATAGTAAAACTGAGCTTGAGGGAGGCACTTCCAATGTTTTACATTTTAGTTGAATGAGAAAATATCTCCCTTTCAAAAAACAAGACCTATAAATGATTTGTTTTCTAGTGTATAATTCCTCTTCCTTCCATTTGGTAGCTAAAGGTCTACAGTTATGAGAAACTGGAATAATGTAATAGAATAGAGGCCATAAAATGTTTTAAACACATTTTGTTCCCAAGTTATTTTTTCTATGCCTTCTACTTTTAAATTATTCAAAATATTTATTAATTTTGTGTTCAACAAGTTTGTTATTTATGAAGTCTGTTGTTAAATGGTATGAAAAGTTGAAAATTTAATCCTGATTGATACAAGGAGAAACACAAAATATCTCTAACAAAAACATTTTCATGACTCCATCAATAAAAGATCAACATTTTTTAAGACCATGTTATGGGGACCTTTACTTGAGTGCTTAGTATGACGTGTTTCAGGTGTGTTTCATTTATACTATTGCAAGGATTAAAATTAAATATGCCATAAGTGGGAGAATTTGTATTATGATGGCCACTAAGTATTTAAAAGTGTTGTAGGTTGTCACACACCCCATTAACTAATATTGATTAGAATTCTAGAGTTAAAAATGTCACTTGTTTTGCAGATCATTACAATTTAGTGTTTGCAGCCACCAGAATCATTTTGGTAAGGTGTATATTGTATAACCCAGGCATATTTTCATGCTAGAAAAATGTTTAAATGATATGCATTGTTTTGTATGATGGAAAGATAGGCAATCATTACGTATCTATTGCAAGGCACTGAATTGGAATATATTCAGATTGAATTTTTGAGCTGGGTTGTGCTTCAGAAATTTCTGTACTTTCATCTCAGTTCTTTGACCTCTTTCTCTACTCATCTGTGAAGATGATAATTTGTTCCTTCATCAGTGCTTTATTTTGTACCTTTGCTGTTCCTACTGTGTGTCTGTCTTGAAACCGTATTGATTGAACAGTGCTTTCTGCCATAGTTTATACCATTTGGAGCTGAGATACTTAACTGCATGTTCTCCTGTTCATTTAGCCACTGCCCACCATTAACCTTGCTTTCTTCCTTTCTCTTTACCCATATTCCTATCTAAATGTATTTAAAAATTGATATATTGTGTTTTTATTCTTTGGAAGATTTAACAATTAAGATTATAGACAAAAGCATCACAATGGGAAAATCTGCCTTAGAGTATTACTTGTTGAAAGTCAATATGAATTTGTCAAGGACCTATCAGGGTCAGTGTGGCAAACTGGCTCACCACCACTTTTGTGGTATATCAGTGAATAATTAAGAATCTCTTTCATGAACAAGCTGACAAATATAATGGAAAGAACAGAGACCTCATAAAAAGATGTCATGTGATAGAATCCAATATCCTCCTCGTGGCTAGCAGCTGCATGGACCTTGACAAATCTTGATAATTGTATCGATTGTACGTGCACATATATACACATACATATACATAACTAGTTTTACATAATTACATATATTTGACTTTATCACAAATGGCAGTAGCTATTTTCTCACAAAATGCAACTGCCTTGACATGGAGTTGACGAAAACTGGATTCAAGTTCCCATGTTCCCAGAATCTCCCACCTTTTCCAAAAAGCAATTTAATTGCCAAAAACCTTAGTGTCTTCCTCTGCAAAACAATGAGAGATGCTTGTATTCAGTCCAACTCTAGGACTGTGGTCTTCTTTTTATAATATAAGTAGTTTCTCCATCTGGGCATTCAGTTAAATTCTATAAGATTGCCACAATCTGATTTGACTCTAGAGAGTACACATACTCTATTTAACCAGATAGTAACTTAAAATTTTACAACATGTATATTTCCTGTAACATTAAAAGCACAGTAATTGAAATTAATATTCAATACATGTCATTTGAATTCTTATAAGGTAATATTTGTTTTAATTTTTTATTTTGCTTTGTAAAAAGTCCAAAATTATTACATCAAATTGTGGAAAGATGGCCACTTTTGATTTATAACAAGATGGTAAGAAATGTTTATAAAATTCTTATTAGTTAATCTAAGTAGGTAGAGGACCATCTAGTTAAAGTTGGATATAGGAAAGATGCACCCTCATAAGAAATAAAGCACGCTATACATTTTTATCCCAATTTTCTGTTTTACATTTAGTGCAAAATCTTAATTAAAATTTTGACTATGAGGCAGTGACCAAGAGGCCAAAAATAATCAAAAGAGTTCAAATTGGCTGGGCACAGTGGCTCACGCCTGTAATCCCAGCACTTTGGGAGGCCGAGGCGGGTGGATCATGAGGTCAAGAGATCGACCCCATCCTGGCCAACATGGTGAAACTAAATGTCTCTACTAAAAAATACAAAATTTAGCTGGGTGTGGTGGTCCACGCCTGTAGTCCCAGCTACTTGGGAGGCTGAGGCAGGAGAATTGCTTGAGCCCGGGAGGAGGAGCTTGAAGTGAGCCAAGATCACGCCACTGCACTCCAGCCTGGCGCCTGGCAACAAGAGAGTGACTCTGTCTCAAAAAAAAAAAAAAAAATTGAGTTCAAATCTGTGTGTCTTTGTTGTACCTGAAGACAAAATTGTGAGTAACACTGTAATGATTAGTAGTACATTAATTAAAATTTTTAAGCTGACAGTAATATAAATCAATGATCCTTTTCTAGTATTCGTTGGATAAAATTAACATTAACTCAAATCTGCTTATTTCCTGGAAGTATTTTAAACTTTAACCCATAGATATAATTTTTAAAATTTATTGTTTTTCAAATCTTAAAAGCTAATTCTATTTCTAAACAGTTAGTGGATGAATTAGAAAAAGAACACCCATGTTCCTAGGGAAAATAATTTATTTTCTAAAATTTGCACTTACTTGAGTGGATCAAAGGACTGACTTTCAGAGATCACAATCACAGATTCATGTTTTGGTTGAAGTGGTCTGAGGACACTGGTTAAAAATATACAGATGTTAGAGTATAACTGAATGAATAGTCAGTACGTCAATAAACACTCTGAGAACCTGCCATTTACTGGTTGACTGCACTCTTCCTGACAAAGGTCTTCCTTTGGTTTTTGTGACAGCATAATCCCATTGTTCTACTCCTCTAGCAGCTCATCCCTAGAGAATTAGGGCAGTACCCCTTCCTCTACCCCACATGGGCTTTCTTTTTTGACTCTACACTATAATCCTGAATGCTTTCATGCATCCCATGGCTTTACTTATTACCAATACTTGGTAAGTCCCAAAATGATATCTTCTGTTGATATTCAACTTTAAAAGGCCAGACCCGTCGTCTCTAGTTGCCTATCTCAGAGGCACCTTAAATTCAACCTGTCCAAAAATTATCTTATACCTTAACCCAGATTCACTGCTTCTCCAGTGTTCCCTGTTCCAGCTTATGGCAACACCATCCTCAGTTTCTCACCCCAAAAGCCCAGGAATCACGTGTAAGTAACAGATACTGGAGTCAAACCGCCATATGGCCTTATGACTTTGGGCAAGTTACCTATTAGCCCTTTGGTTTACTCATCTATGATGTTTGAGTAATAATAGTGCCTACTTATTATGGTTATTGTGCAAATTAAATGTATGAATACCTGTGAGAAACTTAAATAATGATTAGTACCTAGCAAGTGCTTTATGGCTGTTAGCTATTGCTTTTCTTCTTATTTTTTTTCCATTTATTTATTTTATTGCATTTTAGGTTTTGGGGTACATGTGAAGAACATGCAAGATTGTTGCATAGGCACACACGTAGCAGTGTGATTTGCTGCCTTCCTCCCCATCACCTACATCTGGCATCTCTCCCCTTGCTATCTCTCCCCAACTCCCCACCCCCCACTGTCCCTCCCCTATTTCCCCCCAACTGACCCCAATGTGCAGTGCTCCCCTCCCTGTGTCCATGTGTTCTCATTGTTTAACACCCGCCTATGAGTGAGAACATGCGGTATTTGATCTCCTGCTCTTCTGTCAGTTGCTGAGAATGATGGTTTCCAGCTTCATCCATGTCCCTACAAAGGACACAAACTCATCGTTTTTGATGGCTGCATAATATTCCATGGTGTATATGTGCCACCTTTTCCCTGTCCATTCTATCATCGATGGGCATTTGGGTTGTTTCCAGGTCTTTGCTATTGTAAACAGTGATGCAATGAACATTCATGTGCACATGTCCTTATAGTAGAACGATTTATAATCCTTTGGATATATACCCAGTAATGGGATTGCTGGGTCAAATGGAATTTCTATTTCTAGGTCCTTGAGGAATCGCCACACTGTCTTCACTGGTGATCAGAGAAATGCAAATCAGAACTACATTGAGATATCATCTCACGCAAGTTAGAATGGCAATCATTAAAAAATCTAGAGACAACAGGTGCTGGAGAGGATGTGGAGAAATAGGAACACTTTTACACTGTTGGTGGGAGTGTAAATTAGTTCTTATTTTTTTTTAACCTTTATCTTCTTTGCCTCAGTCCTCCACATTCACTGAATTGCTAAACTCTCCTATTTCCAACTCCAAAATATTTTCCAGTTCTATTCTGTTTTCACCATCTTGGCCAAGTCCACCATCATCTTCTAATGGCAGATCTACTCACATTGCTGCCTTCCTTAATATTGTTTTATGGCTTCACAGTATTCTCATAGAAAAAAATCCAAAAGGTTCAGTAATATAAAAAACCTTGCTGGCCAGCCTTGCTTTAGAATACTTCTTCTTTCAGAATACGTGCCCACCACCTCCTCCTCTCTAAGCCTTTTACTCCGCACACCTTCCAGTTTCACTAAAGAACTAAGGACCCTCTCCTCTCCTAATAAAGTTGTGTTGACTTTCCAGGTCTAAAGTTAAATACAAATTTTTCCAGGGAACTTCCGGAAACACTCGCCTCTCTCACCAAACTGACTTGCTCCATCTACTCCCATGGATACTATACCATTTATCACTCTAATTAAGTAATAATGTGTAGCTTTTTTATTCACACCTGTCTCAAAGTTAGGGACAGTGAGAGAGAATCATGCCATTCAAATATAAGTTTTATTCTCAGCATCCAGCATGTTAATTCACTATAGTAATTCAATGAGTATCTGTCCAATTAATGAATACATGTCCAGCACTGTTTCCCACTCTTGTGGTTACCATGATTTAGCAAAAAAGCAGACAGTTGGCAAAAATAAATGTGAATAGTATGATAATGAATACATTAAAAAGTGTCTTGTTGTCCACTAGAAGAACAGGTTTTTATTTTTGTTTTTGTTTTTGTTTTTGAAATGGAATCTCACTCTGTCACCCAGGCTGGAGTGCAATGGTGTGATCTCGGCTCACTGCAACCTCCACCTCCCAGGTTCAAGTGATTCTCTTGCCTCAGCGCCCTGAGTAGCTGGGATTACAGGTGTGTGCCACCACGTCCAGCTAATTTTTTTGTATTTTTAGTAGAGAGGGGGTTTCAACATCTTGGCCAGGCTGGTCTTGAACCCTTGACCTCGTGATCCACCCACCTCAGCCTCTCAAAGTGCCGAGATTACAGGCGTAAGCCATCATGCCTGGCACAGGTTTTTAACTTCATCTGAGTTGCAAAAGACCTACATAAGGAAAGCTTTGTCATTTCAGGCTGAAAATAAGGATGAATGGGAGTTGACTCCGTGAAGGACCTGAAATGTAAGGAGGGCAGACTGAGAGAAGATTCACCTGTAAACTCTCTGAAGCAGAAGGTAGAGTCTGTATAGCACTAGAATGTGGATGTCCACTTCACATGATGGTGTGAGTTTGCACAGGGACATTTCCTTGGTGACCTATGTGTCCTAAATCCAAGGGGACTCTCCCAGAACATTTTTCTATGATAAAGACTCTTGGGACTTTCTGATTCCTGAGATGGGAAGAACTTAGGTCATATAATAGTAATTTGGGGACTCAGGATATGATTCAATATTAATAAAAACAATAACAGTAATAAAGAATGTGCTGATTTTTGCTGTAAGTTTATAGACTGAAATTCTTAGTTTACACATGTGCACATACATGTGCACCCATAAATACACACACACATGCACAGAGACAGTTCTGAAAAATACGTGCAAAAATATAGGATTGGATGTATGCGAAGGGAAACTTCTCTTTCAATTTTACACACTTTTAAATGTGTGTAAAATGTGTACATTTCTCTCGTTTGAAATTATTGTGTGCCATGCCTTTTGGCATTACTTATGTAACCAAAACTCTCAAAAGCTGAGTAAAAACTATGTAGAAATATGTTTCAAATTGAGCATATCATTTGTCTAGTACACTTCACGTAAGTTGAAAAATGTGCCTTTATTTTTTTTTTTTTTTTTTAAAATAATGGTCTCTTCTCTGTCCCTCAACTCTTCCTCTTTCTTTCCCTTTTATTATATTTTTTACCTGAGAAATTGCCACACTTGAAGAAAGGTAATATGGACAATAGTACTCTGCAAAAATTATAGTGAGTTATTGTTTGTATGATTTTTGATCACTAATATTTAAGACCTGCTTTTCTAAGCTGATACTTGCGTGAGATTTCTCTGCTTCAAGCCACTTAAATTAGCTATGCAAAGGGGTGAAAGTTCCGGGGATTTGTTTGGCAACACGTTTCTGAAAGGCCGTTTGGTGCAGCTGCCTTCCATTTGTTTCATCAAGAGACTCAGCTAAACTAAACTAGTTCTTCATGATGAACTGGCAGGAAAGTGCCAAGATAGTTTTATTGCTTAGCAACTTGGCAGGAGGAAATGTTAAAATATTACAATCTCTCTTATCTATGAACTGAGACAGGCTTTCAACCGATGGCTCTCCAGCTCGAACGTGGTTAAGATGCAGCCACATGGCCCTGGCTGATATTTTGAGCTGATAGGAGGAAGATAGGGAAGTTGGATACTTGTAAATGTATAAATAGTAATTTCTCAGAAAACATTTGCTGATTTGAGCCAAATGCTAATCTAAGGAATTAAGCTGTCTCGGTTGTGATGTTGGTAAGTACTGTAACCCTTATTGATCAATGGGATTTCCTTTGCATTTGGGAAGGATGGATATGTCTATTGAGAAGCTGTAGGCCAAGTAAAATCCTGAGATAAACAACTTTATAGAAGAGAAACTGACAGTTTACCATACAGTTTTGGAATGTAAAGAGTTGCGGTGTGCTTTCTTTTTGTGAAAATTGTGGAATAGATGAAAGTGACAGAGTGATGACACCAGCTAAATGGAAGCATCAAGTAGACGGTTACTACAGATGCCTTAGCACGCAGTTCTGCCAGCACACATGCTTACTGCAGACCTCCCGCAATTTAAACCCGTGGGCTCATTCAACTAATGATGCTAATTTGCCAATGGAGCAATGGCTTTTATTGCTAAACACCCACCTACATAGGAGTATGTATTAGCCGACAATGTATGTGCTCAGTAAAAATTGGCACATTTTAAATATAAAGACCACTTTCATGACTATATTAAATCATAGGGAATGAATTAATAAATCCCAGTGTACGTAACTCTCCAAAATTATTGCTATTATTTTTTAAGGGAGAAAGGTGCTATTTGAGGAAAAATTATGTGGTACCAAATGTTACCAAAACACCCAAGTACTGGGAGAAAAGTTCTAAGAGTGTTATAAGTAAAATTTCAATGCCGCAAAAGAAATAGCACTTGAAGATAAGTCCTCTCAGCAAGGCAGTTGACTTCTATAGAAGGGTGCAGGGTGCACCACAGAACAATGATGGCTGCAGCGTACTTGGACAAGGGGGGAGGGGGTACTTATGTTTGACTGGGGTCATCCCTGCTGTTGTGTCGTCCCCTGTTGGCTAGGGTTAGATTGCGCAAGCTAGACTAACCCCGATTGGCTATTTTAAAAAGAGCAGAGATTCGAGCTGGAGTGGCAGGGTGGGTGTTTTGGAGGGAAGGAATGTTACAGTCGTGTGAGACCAGGTAGCCAGGGGTGATCAG